CAACAACAACAAATACTAAAAAAAGGTTCAGGATTTGTTTGCAATTCTTTTCCAACTCAGTCCCAACCTGTCAAAGTCTGAAAACAAATACTGTGTTCACAAGTTATGTGAATTGGTTTTCCTTTAGCACGGGGATGATATTCATTTGAAATGCAAACTGATTCATTTCAGTTAGCTTTAGGTTCATTTTCCCTTCCTTATCTTTACCAATTTCTTTGTATATTTGTTGAATGTGTAGAATATTAACATGCACCCAAAAGTAAAAATTATATAAAAAGTAATTCTCAGAGGGGTATCACTCCCTCCTGTATCTTCTCCACCCTGTGTCCATCCACACCGTAGAGAACCAGTTTCCTTACTGTGTAGTTTTCCTTTGGTATTTTTGGTAAGAGATAAACAGATACATAACTGCTCTTGTTTATTATACATTATACATTTATTATACATTTATTATACACTATTTGGAACTCTGTTTTACTTGGTAGTATCTCCTGGAAATCACTCCATATTACTCAAGAGGAATTATGGTAGTTTCCAATACTTTCTAATTATAAATAATACTGCAATACTGTGCATATATAGTTTAATATTATTAGAGGCATATTTTTAGGGTGCATTCTTAGATGTGAAATTGTCAGGTCAAAGGGTAAATGGTATGTTGACCTGTTAGAATTGCCAAATCTTCCTTCATAGGGGCACCATTTTAAATTCCAGATAAGAATGGCTGTTTCAAAACATCTTCACCAAGAGAGTACTGTTGAGATTTTGAATTTTTGCTAATCTGATGGGTGAGAAATGGTATTGGCATAGTTTTTCTTAAAAAAAAATAAAAGCTTTGTTGAAGCAGAATTGTTCTATACTAAATTTCAATATAGTAAAATTTACTAATTTTAGGTATAGAGATTGACAAGTTTGTTTAACCTAAGGTGATATAGTTCCTTCTAGGATTTAATTGTTTTAGTTCTTATGTTTATATCTATAATAATTCAGTTAGTTTTTGAGTATGACATGAAGTAGGGGTGGAGATCCATCTTTTCATACAACTATTTTCTTATTCTATCCCCATGTATTGTAAAGAGCATCTTTCCCCCAGTGAATTGTCTGTGAACCTTTTTAGAATATTAAATGACTCTAAGTGTGGCTCAATTTCCGCTGGTGTCATATTACGTTAGCTCCAGGCTTAGCCAGAAGGAGAAGTTTGTCTAATTACGACTCTCTCCCAATTCCTTTGGTAGTTACTTATTGTATGATGTCAGGTCTTAATGCTGTTTTCTGTTTGAAGACATCTTCAGCCAGTGTCTTACTCTAACATTACTAGAAGCTGGGAGTCTTGAGTGTAGACTTTTTGGTACTTCTCTTATTATGAGGAAGATGATCTTTTCCTATAATTAAGGGACATTTTCATAATGTTTTTGGATGAACTATTTGTTCAATGTCTTTTGCCAATTTTTCTACATCATTTTTGGATTCTCAACAGTTAAAACTTCTAACTGATTATTACTTGTATACATGGATACGAGTGAGTATTGCATTTTGGTTTTATATCTTGCTAGTCTGTGAATTTTTCATTGAATGAGTTTTAGCATTGATTGTCTAAGGTTTTCTGGGTAACTATATCATCTGTAAGCAAATGGTTTTACTTATTTCTTTTCTAATTCATACACCCCTAGTTGTTTTTCTAGTCTAATTGCATTTTCTTTTTTTGTGTGCTATTTTTATCAAGTTTAGGCATCGCTGTTATACAAGCTTCAAAAGAAGAATTTGGAAATTTTCTTTCATTTTTTTTTTTCTCCAAGGCCACTTATGTAGTTTTGGGATTGCCAAAGGTTTGGTTAAATTTCCCTGTGAAACATCTGGCCTGGTCTTTTTCATCCCAAGAGGGTAGTCTCTTGATAACTTTATTTCTTTTATGGAAATTGGTCAGTTGAGCTTTCTATCTCTACTGAGGTCAGTTTTGATAAACTAAATTTTCCTAAGAAAATCTTTTAAAAGATCGTTAACATGATCTCATTCAAGGTAATTGAGATAACTATTATGATGGTCTCAACTCGGTCATATTTTATTGAAATTATTGTGTGCATATATTATATTTACTGTGTTTATGTTGTGTGTTTCTTTTGCTTTAAAAAAATACTTCTGGTATTTAGGAAGGACTGTATTTTCATTCCATAGGTTACCTTTGTTTTATTACTTTTTGCAGTGCCTGAAATGTCCTCTATTTTTACCTAGTGTTTTACTATCTGACATCAGCTTCACTTACACAACAGAATGGTTATATTCTATTTTCCATCCGCCCCCCTTTATCCTCTCATTTTTTAAATAAACTGCATCTTTTGATTTTTTGGTCAGACGTGTAACATTAACATGTTGTTCTTTTACCTGTGAACTCAGTCTCATTTTTGTCTCAGCAATAAAATAATACCTGTGAAATGCTCACTCTTTGGGAAACTCTGGACAAAGTTAGTCCAGTAATTTTCTGGGTGGATGAAACTCATCCCCTCCTAGTTTCCAGGAGTACTACATATATGCAGCATTCTCTGAATACTTGCACATTCCAAACTGTTTTTCCAGGGCCCTGGTATCTGAAAGTCAGCTTGGCTGTATATATTTTGGTTTCATTTTCTTTCTTTTAGTTTCTTGAAAATGTTGCTCTACTAATGTTGGCCTTACCTTGTTGTGCTGAGAAGACTGATGCTTAAAAAGATATATTGTCTTTGTAAGTTATTTGATCTTTTCACTTGGAGGCACTATGCATTTTTCTATCTTTAAAACCTAATACGTTTACTGGATATGTCCTAGAGTTGATCTTTCGAGGTCTAGTACCCAGTGAGAGATTCAGGTCTTCTTTCATTACGGGAAGTTTTATTGGATTATAGTTCTAAATATTAGTGTTATTCAGTTGTTTTACCTCTTCAAGAAACTCTTTTACTTCCTTTTTTCACTATCATTTTCCTTCTTATGTTTTTTTTTCCCCCCAATACCTTTTCATCTGTCTGCCTTCTTTCTTGGAGAACTTATACACTGAGTTTTCATTTCTGATATGCTTTTGTCTCCCATTCCTTTCCTAAGTTTTACCAACTCTCATTTTTTTTTTTGCTTTTTTTAAAAAATCAATTTCTGTTCTTAATTTTTTATATAATAAATTTTTGTATAATTTTTATATAATAAATTTTATATAATAAATGTTTTATTTATTTCTGAGAGAGAGAGATAGAGAGAGACAGCGTGAGCAGGGGAGGATCAGAGGGAGAGAGAGGGAGATACAGAATCCAAAACAGGCTCCAGGCTCTGAGCTGGCTGTCAGCACAGAGACCGATGGGAACTTGAACCCATGAACCGTGAGATCATGACCTGAGCCAAAGTTGGACACTTAACTGACTGAGCCACCCAGGAGCCCCCTATTCTTAGTTTTTTAAATTTTCTGATATAAAGTGCTTTTTTCTTAGTGGCAAATGCTTTGTTTAAGGATATTTAATTGTGTTTGGAGTGTCATATTTGTTTTCTTTATCTTTAGCTTTATGGTCAAATTGTTTGGAGAGTTTTTATCGGAAGGAAAAGTTTAATTCATATTGTCTGATTTCTTACAGTTGTTTTGTAATAATGGAGACAGATTTCATTTTTTTTTTTCTATTCCATTATCTTTCCCAGAAAGAGTTCTTAGTTCAATAGCACCCTCTTCTGTGCAGTTCTTTATGGATCATGATGGTCATGGCGGAGGTAGATGGAAAGGATGGGTATGTATTGTTTCTCTTTCATTTATCCAAAATCTTTAATTTTCCCCTCTTATTTCCTTATTGCCTAGTCTCCAAGGGGTACCACCTTGTTTCTGTTCATTTGGTTATTTCCCTAGAGGCAATGATTTTCCAATGTTGCCACTTCTGGTTGTACACTTTCTCAAGTCCTGAGAACCACCAACCACTATTCTGTGCTTAAATATTGGCATTCATTATTGCATTTTCTTTCTGGAGGTGATTTTATTTGAACTTTGTCTAATTGCTCCATTTTCCCTAGTTCTTTTTCACAGTCATTGAAGGCTTATCACCTCTGTTCTCTGTATTCCAGGTTTTAGCCGCAGGCAAGCTGCAGGGCTTTGAAATTTTTTTACTCTATTTATATGTACTTTGAAAGATGTGATGTTTTATGTAACAGTCATATTGAAGGTATGAGTCCTGTGTGATTTTATTTGGTTTCTTTGTCGATTTTATGTTTTCTGTGGAGGCGGGGGGTGATGTTGGAGAAATTCAAAATTAGGTGATTGTTCGTGATCTCTAGCAATGTTCTTTTATCTTTCCATTCTTAACAATATTTTTTAATTTGTATGTTTATTTCATGATAATGCCATTTTATCTGTTCTGTTGTAAGCTACCTAAAATTTTGTGAAGAATGATGCAAAGTAAAAACAAATTTTTAGTTTTTAGTATTAAAAAATAAAAGTAAGGGCACCTGGGTGGCTTAATTGGTTAAACATGAGACTCTTGATACTGGCTCAGGTCATGATCTCACAGTTTGTGGGACAGTCTCCCAGTGCAGAGACCACTTGGGATTCCCTCTCTTTCTCTCTGCCTCTTCCCCGATTGCATGTGTATGCACTCTGTCTCTCGTTCAAAATAAATAAATATACATTAAAAAAAAAAAAAGTAAAAATTACTCTGCCTTGGAGGTTTCTCCTTTTGTTTTTTTCTTTAATACAATGAGGTATCAGAAACAGAAGAAAAGAAAAAGGGAAAATAAAAGAGAAAATACAGTAGAAAAGCAAGGAGATTGACCATTTCAGCCCATGGTTATCTGGTTTTGAAAGCAATTTCTTTGAGTAACAGTAGCAGGACTTCAGCATAGATATACCTTCAGAAAGTGACTGCTTTTAAGATTTATGCTATTTCATACTATGTTACTCACATCCGTAAGCTCTGGGATGTTACACAGCATCACTGCTATATACCTCATATGTTTATGCACATACACATACACATAAAACACACCTATGTAATACATGCACTTACTTGTTTCACATTCTGGAGTTCTTCTGTCAACTGTTTGTTTTGCCTTTCTGATTCCAATAGTTTTTCCTGTATTTAAAAACCACAAGTTAATAACACGTTTTGAAGTACCAATGAGTATCATTCCTAGGGCTTTATTTCAACATTATAAATTCTCCAAACATCTAATCGCTACAATATGAAAACGCAGTTCTCAGTCACTTTTCTGGCTTTACACACACTATTCAAAATTAATTAGTTACTCACAACTGTGATATAAATGCATTTCCTGTTACTTTAAATAGCCATTTTGTACAATCGTAACTTCTGAGGTCCAAAATAAATCCATCAGGATGAAAATGTGTAAATACTAACAAAATTTGGGCAACAGCAATCGTTACCAAAGCGCTTCCAAACTGAAGAGCATTATTATTACAGCTTAGAAGTAAAGGTCTCTTACTACACTAACGAGGACATATGAAACTGGATTGACTATTCTGTTCCTGATTTAGCTCATGCTTGGAAGATGATCCACAAAAATGAAGATAAGATTAGTGTAACCAAACTATAAAATAATAGTTACTAAAGTAGAATATGAATGCAAATTAAATATTATCATCTTTTAATTTAATATTAACTTAAGCACATACCCTAAAATATTCAGTGTTTTAAAAATATAAGTAAATTCACATTTTATTGATCAAATCATAAGTACTACGAGTAATTTAAGGACCATTTTACTATAAACTTGGGCAGAGGAACTGCTTGACGATTAAATTGAGTGGTAAATATTCATGGCAACATTGCAATGTTTATAAGAAGCATTCTGCTTCCTGGTATATTTCAGCTCATTCTTATCTAAGAGATGAAATGAAGGATATGAAGATGAATATAATATAGCAATCTAATGAATCTGCCACAGACCAGGAGCCAGGAAACTGCTGGCTCTCATGCTTTTATGCTCTAGCAAGTCACCTTCACTCTGTGCCCTAGTTTTTTGCATCTGTAAATGGAAATACATCTATTTTCATTCAGTTTTGCAAAGCAGTAGCAATCTTAACTTTGTAGGAAGGCTTCAAGTTAAATACAGAACACAGTACTTTTAAAAATCATTCTCATAAAATAAAAAAAAAATTAGCCACTGGCATCACCTTATCTTGGTTTCATTTTTATTTGTGTTATACCTCAAATCAGAGATGAAGGATAGAGATGTCACGGGATAATGGCAAGTGATGAGAGAACAGCTATACGCTCTATAAACTGCATTTAACAACCTCTGTCATTTGTATGTGTGTGGATAATACAAGCCCAAGTACTGAAGGTACAAATGTTACCTCAGTGAAGTACTTATTGCTTTGTACACTCTTACACGGCGAAACAAGTGATTCTCACCATAGGTTTGCAGGGAAAGGAAATTATAAAATACACAATATGCTTTATCTGAGATTTCAGGTCCTATCACATTAGGATATGTTCAGTTATGTTTTATAGGCATTAAATGTGAAACATGATTTATTGACTAGCTACTTTGGGAAGTTTAAACATTATCTAAAAGCCATTTTCAATTAAAATTCTAATAATTAATACTGATAGTCAAATAAGAACTGAATTATATCACTAAATTTAATAATGATAAACATTAAGAAAATGAAAAAAGATTTGAGAGCCTCTGAGTATTGTAATGAACTGTAAGACTGAATGGCCTGCAGAGAGGTAAATTATGTAAGACACTATTTTACCAAGATAACCATCACTGGAGATGTTTTCAAAGAGAATATGAGGAAATATTGTCAGTTTATTCTTAAAACTAAATTTGTATTTTTTCATTTTGTGACTCTTAACTGTTATACCAACAAAGGTAGAAGTGGTTTCAAAGTTGTAAAAAAGTCTATAAAATACTCCTTTAGTAATGCAATGTTCATACACACTTGGAAGGAACATGAATTGGTAAAGCCTTCTGAAGGGCAATTTGGTAGCATGTATAAAATTTTATGTGCCATATCCTTCGATGAAGCAATTTGACTTTCAGAAATATATTCAATATGTACTTTTACAATTGTAGAAACTGCTCAAAGATACATCTACAAAGCTACTTAGGAAGGAATTATTTTTTTAAAATTGTTTTTAAGTTTATTTTTGAGAGAGAAAGAGAGAGACAGAGCATGAGGAGGGGAGGAGAAGAGAGAGAGAGAGGGAGACAAAGAATCTGAAACAGACTCCAGGCTCTGAGCTGTCAGCACAGAACCTGACTCAGGGCTCGAACTCTGAACAGCTAGATCATGACCTGAGCCGGAGTCAGATGTTCAACTGACTGAGCCACCAAAGTACCCCTGAAGGAATTATTTTTAATAGTGGAAAACTGGAAACAGCCTAAATATTCATCTACAAGATACTGGTGAGAAAACCCAGGAAAGAACCATTTGATGACAGAAGAGCCACTAGGGAGAATTTGGCAGATCTGCACATATTAACTTGAAAAGTAGCCTAAAATATAAGGCTAACAGGAGTCCCGGGGTGACTCACTCAATTAAGCCTTTGACTCTTAATTTCAGCTACTTGATCCCACAGTCTATGTACTGGAGCCCTGTGTTGGGCTCTGTGCTGATAGCACGGAGCCTGCTTGGGATTCTCTCTCTCTCTCTCTCTCTCTCTCTCTCCCTCCCTCCCTCCTTCCCTTCCCTGATCACACTCTCTCAAAATAAATAACTTAAAAAAAAAAGAAGATATAAGGCTAACAGAGGAGAAAAAAAGGAATCAAGTTGTAAAAAATATGTGCAGTAGGTGAAGAAACTTATGTAAAAGTTAAAATACCCATATACATTTATTTTTAGAAATATAATTGGCCATATAGAAAAAGTCTCTGGGGGTGCTTGCATGGCTCAGTTGGTTAACGTCCAACTTCAACTGAGGTCATGATCTCATAGTTCGTGGGTTCGAGTCCTGCATTGGGTTCTGTGCCGACAGACTCTGTGTCTCCCTCTTGCGCTCTGTCTCTCTCTCTCTCAAAAATAAATAAACATTAAAAAAACAATTTAAAAAAGTCTCTGAAAGGATAAACAAGGTGTGTTTAACAATGGCTTCCTCTAGGGTTGAAATTTAAATACTAAGGTAGGAAAGAAATTTCTTCCTTTTATTAGGGGAGGTATAAAGACTTTATTTTAATAAAAATTAAGTAAAGAAACAGAATTTTACTTATTTCAGAAAATAATTTAAAATCATTGAAAAAAATATATTCCTACTGTGAATTAATCATAAATCAAGTAGTTACAGTGCTTTTCTTGAAGACTTGAAAATATAATGTACTTCTGTAATAATTAGGATATAATTTAAATTTAATATTTTACTAAAAACAGAATGAAAATATATAAAATGAATCAAAATCTGGAAGTGTATTTGGGCACACCGTGTATATTTTCTTCTCTTAATCATATTGCCTTAATTCCAAATTATGTTACCAAAACAAGAGGTCTCTGAAGAATGCCTGTGAACATTGGGAAAAAAGTATTTCCCAGTGAACATCTGAAGATCCAAAATTGTCATGGCTTGCCTCGTTGACTCATCTAATCTTTGTTGGCTTATCATCCTTGCCACCAATATGAGAACAAAAAGGGGTGAGAAGTAGCCAGATCAGAAGGTATGAGCAAAATCCATTGGCTACCCTGAATCTTACATGAATATTGTGAAATATAAATAAGTATGTGAACCAAAAAGTTGACTCTTTAAAGGCCTATTGAATAAATGATCTATTTTCTGATGTTAATAGTTTTTGCAATAATGTTAATATTATTTATAATATTACAAACATTAACATCATATATTTGATAATTTATTTATAATAAATATAATAATAGCTTTTTCCTTTTCTTTTTTCTAAGCAAAATGTAAGGAGGTGAAAATGGAGATTTACCCTGAGTTTATTCACTTCCTCCAAGGCATCATTTCTTTCACGTTTAAGCTTTTTCATTTCATCTGCCTCTAAGGAATCACAGGGAAGATGCTGTCAACATTAAAATACAAGAAAAAAGTTATGCATTAAATGCTAATTATGAGAACTAGCATGAAAATCCTTTTTGAGAAGCGTTAAGGTTTTGCATTTTAATAACAAAATTTGGCTTCTTTGGAGTCATTTGATTAGATGAAAGAGAATAGTAAAGCAACCTGGGGAAACTTGATTTAACAACTTACATTGTTGTTATTTATAACAGAATCTCAATGAATCTCAATGATAACATATACATATCCTGTTGTCATCTTTATGATTATTTTAACAATATGATTTTCCTTAAGAGTCCAAATTTTAAAACTGTGTTTATAATGTCAAAAACACTTGAGTTATTGACATAAACTCTTCCCCAAAGACATCCACGCCAAGCACATGGTATCTAAAGCTAACAAAACGCTGGACATTATCAATCAAGACAGTTTATGTAAACCCAGTAAAGTTCATTAATCAATTATATGCCTTGTTTTAACTAAACAAAATGCAATGTTAACAGCCAAGCAGCTTAAAAAGATTCCTGCACAGAAACTGTGGATTGAAAGTTATATTAATAATTCATGCACAAGTGAGTAACAACAAAATAGCAGAGATGACAATTTCTCTTCTCTTGCTGTTAGCATCATCTCTTTGACAGTTAATTACAAGGTAAAAAACAATGACAATCTAATCAGAGACTAAAAGCCAAGTCTAATTATAGCCATCTTATATGTATTAATTATAACAGAATTTTAAAAAAAGTATAGAAGATATAATTTAAAGGACTATGTGGAGAAAATGACTGCTCTTATAAGGATGAGTTTAAGGTAGGGCCCTTCAGACAGGAGAGGTAAATGCAAAAGATAATAAAAAATAATAGTATCACTATTTACTATGAACTTACTGTGTGTAGATATATTGCTAAGGATTCTATATATTCACTCTATCCTTCCTATAACGTCGTCTCCACTTAACTGATGAGGAAATGGGCTCAAAACATAAGCAACTTGCTTAAGCTTTCACAGCTAATAATGGTCACTCTATGATTCTCACAGAGGTCTGACATTAGTCTGTGATTTTCACTACCTGCCTAGCAGAAATCATGGTGGAATGGATATGAGAAATTCAGGTTTGATTTTAAATCCCAGAGTAACTGAAGTAGAAGTCATCCCTCAATTTGGGGGAAGAAATATTTTTCCTAAACATTACTGATTCCTTTTATCCTGACAATTACCTTTAGGTACATATAGACATTTGCTTTCATCATCTCATATCCTTCATCTGTCTCTGTTATTCTACTCTTTTGTGAGTACTCAACACACAAAGAATTCATTCTTATACTATTTAGAATAGTTTTTAATACATATTCAAATGTAACAATATTTCCCAAAGCACATTCTAGTTTTGTGCAAAAGCAAAACTGAATGGTGGTGATTTATCCTGTGGTTAGGTAAATCAGAGAAACGTTGGATTTAGGAAAAATGAACTTTCCTGCAGGGCTTCCAACATCCTTAATATTCTAATGAGTATTCTGAATATCCCAAGAGGAAGTAAAATTTAATAGCTTGTTGCATTTCCTCAAGTTTTTTTTACCATATCCCCAACCACCACACCTTTATTTTGGGACATCTCAGTAGACTAATGTCTGCAAAGCACTAAGTATTCTGGGAAACACCGTTACTCAACATTCAGATAAGCCTATTGTATCTTGAATGTTATCCAAGATAGGAAATAAATGGAATTCAAAGCTTAAATAAGAATCTAAATAACACAACGATATCAGTTTATTAAGAGAAATTATAGACTGGGGTTTTAGGGATACGGTTATAAACTTGCGAGCTTAAAACATGGAGGCAAATCACACATAAATGAGCCCATGGTAACATTTTAGGAGGCAAAATGCTAGACTGAACAGTCACAGAACAAACCATGACTTAAAAACAAAACAAAAACATATTATAATCCTATTGCTATTTTAGGCTAAGCAGTGAAAACTTACAGCCAGAGAACTGGCCATGGATGTTACCTGTAAATTCTTTGAAAAGCCTCTTTGTGCTCAGTCAGGTGTTAAGAGTTTGCATATCTTCAACTGAGCAAGCAACAGATGAAATGAACTGTTGCTATTTAACTTGAAATGATTCCAGACAGATAACTGTTTTCCTTCTTTTTTTTTAATGTTTATTTTTGAGAGAGAGAGCGAGAGTGAGCACGTGTGGGGGAGGGGAAGAGAAAGAGGGAGACACAGAATCTGAAACAAGTTCCAGGCTCTGAGCTGTCAGCACACAGAGCCCAATGCAGGGCTCGAACTCAAGAACTGTGAGATTATGACCTGAGCCAAAGTCGGAAGCTTAACTGACTGAGACCCCCCCCAAGTGCCCCAAGACATGTAATTGTTTTCTAATTTGCTTCCAGTTCTTGGGTTTTAGCCTTCCTTTCCTCCATTCCTTTCCTGTCTGGTTCTCACAGTATCTTTTGTGACCCTCATGCCCTCTGACCTTTGAAACACACACAGCACACAGAGCCCAATGCAGGTCTCGAACTCATGAACTGTGAGATTATGACCTGAGCCGAAGCCGGAAGCTTAACTGAGACCCCCCCAAGTGCCCCAAGACATGTAACTGTTTTCTAATTTGCTTCCAATTCTTGGGTTTTAGCCTTCCTTTCCTCCATTCCTTTCCTGTCTGGTTCTCACAGTATCATTTGTGACCCTCAAGCCCTCTGACCTTTGAAACACCTGGTAGATTGCACTGTAAATCATTTCCACTCTATTCTGGATAGCCACTATTTCACTGGCCTCGTTCAAAAACTCAGTTCATCTTCAACAGAACAATGTCTGTTTCAGGTCAATTTTATTGATAACGCCTTCCACTAGAAACACAATCAACTACCTCTTCTCCTTAAAATTTCTTATATTCCCTTTCTCCTTCCTTTCTCTTGCTCACTCCTTTGCTTCTTTTTTTAATTAATTTTTTTATTTTTATTTTTGAGAGAAAGCAAGCAAGGGCAGGGAAGGGGCAGAGAGAAAGGGACACAGAGGATCAGAGGCAGGGTCTACAGAGAGCTGACAGCAGAGAGTACGATGCTGGACTTGAATTCACAAACCCTGAGATCATAACCTGAGTTGAAGTGGGACACTTACCAACTGAGCCACCCAGGCGCCTCACTCCTTTACTTCTTATAATCTGGTTTACATTTCCTCCCATCCCCACATTTTGAAAATAATTTATGTTCAATGTCACCAATAAACTTAGTATTTGGCAAAATAAACACCCCCCCATTGAGTTTCTTAACCTCCTTTGTTTCATGTAACATTGTTTAAGCCATTTGTCCTTGAAACTTTCTCTTCCCTAGGCTTTTGATACCCCACTATCTTACCTACCCTTCAGAATATTTAGGGTGTTTCTAATAACTTAATTTCATTTCCACTCCTTAAATGGGAGAGGGGGGAGATTCTGCAAAGTTTGTCCCTTTCTCCCTTTTCTACAAGCTCTCCCTGAGTGATCACTTCAACTATCACCCTACAAATCATTCCCAAATCCCTCTCTGTGTCTAGTTTCCTTATTTCCAGTGATCTTTTGGTCACTTATACCTGTCAGTATATTGAACTTACTCTCTAAAATCCAACTATCATCTTCTCTACTTTTCTTATTTTCCTATTTCTATCAACAGCACTACCCTACTATTCATCATCCTAATCAAAACTCTGCAGTTATCTTTAATTCATTCTTCCTTGTTTCTTACACTCAAATTCAAGTCTTAATGATGATATACCTGTTGTTGGTAAATTATCGTATATCTGTCTCTCCATTCTTTCCCATTTTCTTCACCTTCAATGTTTAGCTCTTAATTTTCTATATTTGGACTCTTTACTTTGTGCCCTATCTAGGTTACCTACCAGTTTCATTCCCTTCCAAGAAAACCAATACTACTATAAGATTATTATTTCTAAACTGTCAATTTTGATCATATCATTATTCTCCCTAATGGCTCCTCACTGACTATGAGTAAAGTACAAACTTCTAAGTATAATATTTACATTTTTAGGCTTACCTTCCTTCACTGATCTGCATGTACCTACTTATTTTTAAAAAGATAAGTAATCTACTTTTTAAAAAAGATGCATGGATGGCTTAGTCGGTTAAGCGTCTGACTCTTGATGTTGGCTCATCACATTGGGCTCCGTGCTGACCCTGAAGAGTCTGCTTGGGATTCTTTCTCTCTCTCTTAACCCTCCCCAGCTTGCACTCTCTTTCTCTCTCTCAAAAATAAATAAATAAACTTCCAAAAAAAAGTAGATTACTCTCTGCGTATCATCACGTTATATATATGTATATTTATTCATGCTAATTCTTTTATCACTTTCTGTTCACCTCTTAAGGAGATAAAACCCTATATATCATTTAAAACACACTCAAATGCCAACTCTGTTAGGAATCTTCTCTGAATATTCTAAGCTCTATCATTACTATGGTCTTACCATGTAGTGCTAGAGCTTTTTAAAAATCTAATTATTTACGTACATGACTTTCCTTGCACAATACTCTAAATTCCTTGAGGGACAGGCTTAAGTTTATTCACTTTAATAACATGCTGGAGCAGCGAATACAATGCCATCTACACTCTAGTTATTCAATATATATGTAATGCTTTACAGATGAGATATAATGAAGTGGCTATAAAGTACATACTGTTTACACATAGTGAGACATACCTTTTGTATCACGACCCCAGTATAAGTGAAACATTACTCACTCTTATATAAAATTTACTTTGATATTTTCCATTGTATTCTCTCACTTGTTAAAATAGGGGTCCAATCCACTAAATTGATTTAGCAAGAAACCAAATTGTGAAAAGTCTTCATTAGGGAACATACAGTGTTCTGTAAATGTATGGTAAACCCATCATATTGTGATAGACTATAGTCTGCTGTTGCTAAATTTAGAGTTCTGTTAAATGTAGGCTCCAACCTTGCTTTTCTGTGTGTAACCTTATGCCAGTAGCAGGTGTAGCACTCTGTG